CAGATGCTGGAATGTGGAACAAAGTTTTTCTTAAACAGAAACCAAAGCAGTATTGGTGAAAATTATTAATACTGCCTTCCACAAAAGTAAGCTTGCTTTTGTAACGCCTCATGCACGCAATTTAAATGAGTAACAACTTACAGTAGGAAATTCTGTGCATCAATCTGCAAAAAAAAGTCACTGACATTCAGTTCTGACTTATACTAGGTCACTGACAGTTTGTTCTGGTTCACGCTTTCAAACAGCATACCTTTCAGGGAATTTTCTTGACTTGAGTGATAGGAATATTTGTGTTTATATCAAGCTAGGAGAGCCACTCCTTAAGAGCTCTTTAAATAGTACAATTAGTAAGTCCTGTAAAATAGCGTTTCATGGCTTTGATCCCCCTCAAAAAATGAAAATTTATCAAGCAAATACATTTTTCCACTCAGACCAAAGAACAGTAATGGGAAGGATTTTAAAAGTATTTATCTGTAGATTACTGTCAAAGAGTTGCCTGAAACATTCACTATAAGCTTTACAGAACTGCAGCGGTAATATTAGAAACAGAACAACTCTGAGGATGGAGTCAGGGGGAAAAAAAAAAAGCCTTTGCACTGGGGAACGACACATTTTCCCTGTTTTAGCAGCATTTATGCAGTCATTTGAAAGCTTAAGAGGCGTGCTTATGGTTGCAAAAAAGAACCTCCTGAACAAAATATGAAATAGAGAGTTCTTACACAGCCAGCAGCCTTTCCTCCTGGCAGCCTCCTCAGGCTGCAGGAGATGGAAACTACTCTATCTGCGGCTCACAGGGACCTCCTGAAGAGAAATGAGCTGGTAAAAATCAGAACAGAGCTGCAGTATCACTTCAAAAAGCTGCAAGCAGCAGATAAAGGCAACAGTTTATTTGCTGGTAAGGACGTGAAGGTTATGTATTGCTGACACAGCTAAAAAGGGCAAAGTAAAAAACACTGTTCATCAGGTATCAGCCAGGTAGGTCAACAGAAGAAGGCAGGCTGTCACTGCATCATCCTGGGAACCCCAGGAGCCAGCTGCTTTCCAGAACTTCGATTTTATCAGGACAGCATTATCAGTCTTCCTTCCTCTACGTTTTATATCTGTTGTGCTAGAAGACTTCCTCCATCTTGTAGGTATCCTTAAAATGCAAGCTTTGCTTGGGAAAACACTGTCCCCTGCTAAGGTAAGCTGATTCACGTTTGTCAGCACAAACTGACAATAGGCCATCACACAACATTACAGTCTGGTGTTATTTCTTTGCTTTGGTATTTTCAAAGTTAAACCTCCCTCCTCCCCATATCTGCTATCTACTACCTTTCAGTGAAAGGGAAATGAAAAGAGAATCAAATGGATCTGTCATATGTCAAAGCATGGATCACAAAAATCCTCTTAAATTATCTGAATTTTTAAATCATTCAAATGTGAGTAAATTTTTAAAAGCTCTATTCTTACGAAAATAAAAATCCTTTTGAAATGAAAACCAACTGAGAATAAATTACGTATACACCTTAAACAATCATATTATACTAAGGCAGCACATGTTTGCCAGTGAAGTTTTAAATAAGTTCAGCCACCAAGCCAGTGAAATCTAGAAGTTAGTTTGGCAGCTCTACCAAAAAAGAAACCACCTACAAGTTTAAAGAGCAGAAAGTATTGTTTTGCAGTATCAGATAAGAAATGGGGATATGAGGGGACTATATCTATTGCAGTAAAGCAACCAGCAGCAGCCCATTCAATTTACCACCTAACACAAGGTCTTTTCACAAAGCTATCAACATTTATCCTTCCCTCTTAGTATTTCAGATTTGTAAGTAAAAATGTGGGTACTAACTCCATCAAAAAGACACACTCCAAACAGTAAATAAATCTGGGAAAATAAAACACTTAAAGACAAAAAATTAAGCATTATGACTATTACATAGCTTATGTATACAGTTAATCTCCAGCTTCACAGAAAATGCTGTTATATCAGCCAATGCAAATCAACATTTAAAAAAACAGCAGTAGTAGTAGTATGTAACCCAAAGTAGTAGTATAAATATAGAAGATTAAAAATCGATGATTTAATCAAACACTTGCATAAATTAGTCACTTATTTAAACTCAGTGACTTTAAGACCAATTATTCCAAGACAATTCTTTACAGCTATTTATAATGAGAGGTTTACTGTGAGTTATAAACTGACCTGTGATTTTTTCTGCCGCCCAGTACTTTCCAGAAGTCTCCAGTATCCAGGCTTCACTTCTGTCCACAATCAAAAATGCACTTTGGAAAGTATGGCATGAACTCCCATCTTCATAATAATTTCCACCTTGTCCATGCTCTTCCAACAGAGCAACTATTACATCCAATGCTTCTTTAGCCGTTGCACCCCTTTCTAGGCCAAGTCTGTAAGAAAAGGGTAAAACAGAGATTCAGACAGACATGTAACAGTGAGGTGTCCATAAGTTATTAAACATCAGCACTGATCTGGTTTCAAAATACCAAAGTGTCAGGTATGCCTAGTGTAAGAATTCTTGCTTTAATGAGTTACTAGAATTACCAGATGAGACATTAGGTTATTTGTTTGAAGTCTATCTTCTACGCTGGTTCTTTATTCTCAAGCCTATCATAGTTGAGTTTTAGTTTTTAAAAAAAAGAGTCCAATTACCAACCAATGGCCTCAGCTGCACTGTAAACATGCGATGTTCTATTTATCCTCCCCCTCAGGCAGAATGGATTTGAAGGACAATTTGCAAAGGTCTTAAAGTAACAGTTGCATGCAAGTTTACTTTTCTGTATAGCAGGGCGAAATTGCAAATTAATACTATCAAAGATCAAAAAAGGGAAGGAGTATGCAGTATTTCAATCTCTCTACAACCTCTCTTTCCCAATGCTCCATTATTTAATTGGCCATGGAAGCTAGATGTATGTTATCTTTTGATGTATATTGCATGCTATAGACAGAAGCATTTGTGCACAGTAATGCTTCAGTGTTTCTGCAGAGGCTTTCCCCCAAAAAAAGTTTAAGAACTAAACACCAGCTTTTGTCTGAACTAGAGTAACCATATGTCTAAAAGAACATTACTTTAAAAGGAAGTCTGAGCAAAGCAAGGATATTTTAGGGAAAAGTAAGCTGAGGCACAAAACTATAGGGAATGATGGTATCCTGCCTTGAATAAATGGGATGAAATAATCCCTTGAGACAATTTACAGCCCTAATCAAGTCAATAATGAAAGCAGTCACCAGAAAAGTCCAAATCAGACCTGTAAATGATTCCACTGGTTCCAAGATGCAACTACTGGTGATGAGGAAATGCAGTATTTTAAACAGCAGCATATCCATGCCTCCATCCTTTGGGAGAGTTACCTGGATCAGTCCAAAATTTCCCTCTGTTGGTCATATCACCTTAATATTGTATCTTTCTCTAATAGCTCTATGGGCAAAGTCATTTTGACTGATGAAGAGTTCCAAGAAATTTACCTTTTAAAATTAGGTACTATGCTAACCCTTTCCATTTCCCTGGAAATCACATGACAAGAAAACACTACTGTTTCTTTCTTAAAAACTACAGTACACAAATCAAGTCCTGATAACTTGAATACAAATTTGTTGATCTAAATACTTTTCAACCTGATCTCTGCAGTGGGCCTGCTTTGTTAAATAGTTGGCCACTATTAGCCTTGGTTTAGGTTCAATTATCGAAAGCAGTCTTTTCATCTCTCTCAGAAGTGTCTATTTATCACTTAGTGACAAAGGAGAGCCAATGAGAACTTTAGGTTCTAACTTACAGTCACAACTTCTCCGCCATCACCTTCTTACTTTGCATTCATAGTCTTTCCCTCTCATCTTGTTTCTCTTATTAGCTGAAACTTGTTTTGCATTGTTGTCTCTATTTTTAGTCCCTATGCATTTATGTTTTTCCTTCATTCTTTTCATCACTGGTGCACTCACTTTTTCAGAGCACTAGAGATGCCAGTCTTAGCACATACCATAGACAACATTTAAAAGCCAGTCCAAAAAGCATGTCTTATTTATTCCCCAAGAACAATTCCAAGAGCTGTCACTGTCACAGGTAAATGAATGGGCTGACAACTACCTTGATGACCATATAGTCACTAGATTCAGTGATAATCTACTCCCTTCACGCTCATTTATGATCAAAAGCATTAGGTTATAATTCGGTCAAAACCTGCCAAGAGACATAACATCACATTAAAACTAATAATGTTACCCTGAAATTTTCCTTCCGAGATGGTTATAGCCTAGCTTTCACTGTCAAAACTACAGCAGAGATTCAGGCATTATCTTGCAAATAGCTCCAATGTTACATTTACTTTCATTTAACAAAGGCCTAGGCTCTGCTTTTGTTAGGGTGCTCCTATCTGTCAGTCACAAGGGACAGCAAAAAAACAAAGAAGAAAAAAAACCCCTACACAACAACCACACAGCTCATCTCCACAAAACGGCAGGTCTTGGCAGTTAGCATCAATGTCCTGGGTAGCTCCAGCATAATCCTCCCACTAACACATTTCAGAGTACCCTTCAAGGCATGCTGGAAGAAGTTTTAAGTCATTTCACCCCCAGATGAGAGCTTGAATTCATCAAGAAAATTTCAGTGACTTAGTACAATCCACTGCCTCAGTACCTCCAATATGCTATCATAGCATATTAAAACCTTGTCAAACCAACATTATCTTTAGCTTTTCGACTTCCCATAAGTTACAGGTGCAGACTTTCCAAATGAAGTAACTAACATACATGATGATGACATCCCACTTTATTGAATTTTGATGTCTCTAAGGAAAGAAATTGGTAAACAAATTAATACCATTTTAAAGAGCATTCTTGACTCCCTGCCAAGACTAGCATCTCTGTGTGGCTCTGAAAAACTGATTGCACCAGAGAATTAAAAGAACCAAGAAATCGTACAAACACATAGGGATTAAAAATTAAGACAATACAAAAATAAGGGTGTATTTTACAGGTTTCTTCATATATACCTTTTGTACGATAATGTTGTCCAGTTCTAACTGTATCAGCACAAGCAAAACCGTACACCATCTCTTCATATGAAGGTACTTCACTAAGTAAACAAGTGCTTTCTAGAGGCAACTGTGCCTCAAAACCAAACAAAACTGCAGCCACACCAGGAAGAATATATGAAGAAAATCCTGATAAGATAACCAATGCTACAATAATGGTGCAGCTCTCAAAGACCAGCTTTTGAATAAACCCCTAGAATATAACAGCAGCATTTCTTAGGAATTGTGCTGGAACCCATTTTCCTACAATTTTTCTCTCTGTTATGAGTAGGTTCATGTTCTCCGTTTAGATAAACTGGGATGGGGACAAGCCTGCATGGAGTAGGACCAACTTCTACGCTCAAGTCAATCACACAAACTTTATTCATATCTTAAGAATCATTCATGTGTTCTAACATGTTGTGATACACTATCAAGCTACAAATCTGTAGATATCTGTCTTAATCCTCAGATACAGTACTATACTAGGTAACAGTTTTCAGCCATTAAGCCATCAGCCAGTCACTAAACAAGCTAAAAAATTTGTGAAATACATCTTTACTGTCTATTCTGATCTTCATTTAAAAAAATGCTTTGTCTATGAGGTTGTGGGATGAATTTTCAATTTTCTATTTCAACAACAAAACACGCTGACTTCAGAATTATACTACCCTGTTGAAAGATACCTCTGGCCTGTTTAACACCATGTGCTCTCACAATACCCATCTACAGCCTTTGCCCACGTTGGCTGGATTTTAAATCCTAACTGAAAAGTGACAATGCCAGATGAGTTCAAAGAGAGAGGAAGTCTCCCCTACAAAAAAAGAATAACAACTTTAGGAGAATGTAAAAGCAAACTCTTAGAGAGCCTGAGCATTCAAGCAAAATTTGATTCTACTACCTGGATGACACTCCTGGGTTGATAACTCTTACACCTGCTCTGAAGAACACTTCAGACTATAAAGCTTTTAGCTGCTTTTGCAAGCAGCTAGTCATACATGCAGCACACACAGAGTGTCAGTCTTCATCCTTCAGCTAAGATCTGACACAGATGCAGAAGTCCGACATATACATAGGTGTGAGAAAAATTTGGCCAGCAGAGATGTGCATTTCTTAATTAGGCTTAAAATGACTCAGTTTGTTTTTATTCCAATAAATCCTGAGTGATAGGATTAGTCTGTTCTGTGGATGGGTAAAAAGAGGCAGAGCTGATGCCAGCTGCTTCACTGCAGCCTATGTGATAGATTTTGTACTTGATGGGTCTCTATTCTATGAGGTGATCCAAAACAGATAAGCTTAATACTACTGGCCAAGTCTTCACAGTAAGAGAAAGAATCACTTTGGCTGGAACACGAGCCAGATGGCAGTCTGCAACACATCTCTAGTTCTCCTTGCCTGAAGCACTCTCTGCATTCAAGCTTCGGTCAATTTCTTTTGCAAAGAAGGAAGAGAAGATGAGTAGTATCTATAGGTGATGATCACTCGAAGTTTATGACCAATTTCTCCTTATTTTCATATCTCCTGATTTGCTAGTGTGGGTAAATCTAGAGCTGCTGGACGGCATATATATTTGGATGTTAAACAGTATTTTGACACTGCAATAACTGTGACCAAAATAAGCAGAGCTCTCCATCTAAACCAATCGTTTATTAAAGTTTCAAAAGGATGGTAGTAGGAGGGAAAAAATAAAGGTGGAGCTTGGAAACTCACCTAACATATCCCCTTTCTTGACAAAAAGGACTGTTGTGGTTTAACCCCAGCTGTCAATGCAACACCACACAGCCACTTGCTCCCTTCCCCCCGGTGGGATGAGGGATAGAATCAGAAGAGTAAAAGTGAGAAAACTCATGGGTTGAGTAAAGCAAAAGCCACACACGCAAGCAAAGCAAAACAAGGAATTCATTTACTACTTCCCATTAACAAGCAGGTGGTCAGCCATCTCCAGGAAAGCAGGGCTCCATCACACGTAAAGTTTACTTGGGAAGACAAAACACTGTAACTCCAAACGTCCCCCCCTTCCTCCTCTTCCCCCAGCTTTTAAGAAGCTACATGTTCTTAAAAGAGCCCTCAAGTCTATTCAGTTGTCCCTCAATGCAGTTAAGATCACTAGTCCTCCTAGGTACAGCTTCTCCACAGATTCCTTCAATAATACAGACTTTAGAGAAAATACCAAAGAAAAATGTAACCCAAATTTCCTCATGGTTTTCTCATTGGTGAGATTCTATAGATCTCTGATCATATTTCCCATTTCCACAGCATTCTCTCCAACTGGCTCAATGTTCCTCTTGATTTATGGTAGCTGGAACCAGATACTGTATTTCTGCAGAGACATTGTTAGAGAATACTTACAATTACAGTTTCAGGCAGCTATACACCCAACAACAATTTCTTCTAACTCGTGCTTCCCAGCTTGCTTATGAGAATATCTTCTAAGGTTTTAACGCCTTCTTAAAAGTCACGGTATCTCTTTCCTATCCTCTAATCCATAAAATTTGTTAATTCATTACAAGAGTAAAGTAGAATGGTTTGACAGGATTTTTCTTGACTAACAGTAATTATTGCCGATTTATCAACTCCTTGATATTTAAGTGGGTTTTTCCCCTTCAGGAACTGAGGTTAAGCTGGTCTATAACCACAACTCTTTTTAACTCATATAGCCACAATATTTAACCTTTTCCAGTCGTCCAGAACCTCTCCCATCTTTCACTAGTTCTAAAGAAAAATGAGAATTCACCTGAAATTGGTTCAACCCGCTCATTAAGTATCCTAGGGCAAATTCCAGCAGGACCACTAGGTCTAACATTGATTCGCTTAAATAAGCAGTTGTTGCCCTGCTCCATCTTTAACTAAATTGAGTCCATTTGCTCCCTTTCTCTTTGTAACAAGTTTGCACTATTTTCTCATGTTCTTCCATTTTCAGCTTTCTTCCCCCACCCAACTCTCCTTTAAATTCTCTTCCCAACAAGATCAGCATGCCGGTTGAGACTTACAGAGCAGCACAAGCCTTTTAGGCAGACAGCCTTAAATGCACAGACTTACAGGAGTTTGTTTGCCAGCATTTAAATAACGGCAATGGTTAGCACTGGAATCGATGGGCTGAAGTGAAGCATAGTAGTTTGTTTATGCCTACAGTTGGCTATAAGCCCAGGATAAGCTTTTTAGGTCAGAGTAGGCTGTTGTAAAGCGGGGGAGAATGACGGGCATACCAGCAATCTGATATTACAAATTAGTTAGCAGTTCCTTACTAACAATGTAATCATTTCTCTTATCCTGTCAGAACAGCCACTACTAGGCTGTAGGGTAGGTAGACAAGGTAGGTTTCGTGAACCCACATTAGACTAGTACATACTTGGTGGCCAAATTCAGATTACAAATGTTTTAAGTGTTAATTCAGCTGTGTCTGGAGCTCTGCCTAGACAGGTCTACTGCTTATATTGTTTTAAAATCTCCTAATGCCAATACCACAAAGCTATTTCCTGGTATCATCATCTAAACCTTTGGTGTTTGAAAGGCTGGTCACAGCTCGGCAAGCCACCCACCTGACAAGATCCATTCCAAGCAAGGCTTCAGATTCAGAAGCTGGTTCTCTGGTCACGACGGCTTCATTAGCTACACAGACTCCATGCTCGTTAGCTCCCATTTCGGCCCCCCAAAGCCAAGAGGGCCTGCTCAGCACAACAGCATGAGTCTTCGGCACCTGCTCAATCTCAATATATGTGCACTGCAGAGAGAGCAGGAAGAGAAAAAGCAAAACAATTGCAAGCACTTTATCTAATGCTGTGACTGAAGTAACATAAGAATTCAATGTACAGACAGGACACGCGTTATTTTAAAAAGTTCACGTCTTGTGTACGAGCGGGGAATTTTTTTTAAACAACATTTAACTGTGATGTTTGAACCTTTACATCCTTATATTGCAAAAGTCTGGACAAATAAATCTCCCTTGATCATTGCTTCAAAGAGTCAAGCAGAACACAAGTGCTAGAATCAGCAGAAAGAAGCAGTAGACAGACTGTACTGTTACAGTAAAGAAACACAGATCATTTTTGTACATAGTAACAACATCAAACCGTTCTACCATCTTAGCTATAGCACAGTCTCCAGTACTTTATTAAGTACACAGTGTAACGATGATAACTGGACAAAGTACATTTGAAGGCTTCCCCTTCTCCCTTGCTGTCTCCCCTGCAGCTGCCCCCAGGACTGAGACTGCTGGTAGAAAGACCAAAAAAAAAAAAAATAAAAAATCAAGACTTGAAAAGATTCAGTGGAATGCTTTCATAAGCAGTCACAAGAAATAAAACAGAGGCATTATTTTTGCTTAAAACTGATGTTTCTGCTATTCTAAATGGTCTACTGTAATCAGAGATCTGACAAGGCAAAAATACAGAGAACGGCTGCAGAGAAGTCATTGAAACTGCAAGGAAAAAAAGAAATTATACATTATCTTTCACATAGATTGACTTTTCCCTTGTTCTAGGACTTAAAAACAAGCACCGTTTTCCCAGACAGCATGGAAGAGAGCTTGATCCATCATTAGATCATTGGCTTGTACAAGCCAAAGGAAGTGGCTTTACATTTTACTACTGAGGTCACATTAAGTTCTTCATAGATCAAACTCCACAGAATTTTCTTTTAAGGAAACTGAAGCTGTCTCTGGTATTTATGAGAAAGCTCTTAGTGTCCAGCATTCTTGTTGTAATATCTTCTTTGCTGAAAGTAATCTGCAACATTTTTCTGTAGGAATATTTGGTTGGACATATCTAAGTAAGCAAGATGAGCAGAATGGACTTGTGGAATGAAAGTTGTTTGCCATGAGAACAAATGCTATGTCTGCATTAAAACCTAAATCCAAAAGAATCAGTCCAAGATTATTAGCGGTGAGAAGCTGTTTTGGTTTATTATTTTTTTTTCTAACTTGTCTTTCCCCCTCTAAGCATTACAGAGCACAATCATCTTCAGCCTCCAGTCTTGAGCAATGATTTTTACAGTAATAGTCTAGCATGCAATTAAAATGTGTAACAGATAATCTTTGATCAGAAATGGCATTTTTAGAGTCCTTCACTCTGACCATACAAGGACACAAGAAATGAGCTTGCCACCTTCATCAGGAATTGTGTCTGAACAGGTCAAACTGTGATCTTTCTATAAAAACAGGAAAATTATAGGTGAAATAAGAGGATGATTTCTCACAGAGAACACATGATTTAAAAAAGAAAAAAAAGTGAGAAGAAGGGAACTTTTTCATTCTAAGAAATTAAAAATAAGGGAGGGGCATGCTTCCCTTTTCCTTTCTGCTGTGTGCTTAATTTTTATTTTTGGCTTAGGAAATAAGACCCCAGCAGAGACTTATCTGCTGTATGTGTTGAAGAAAATCCCTAATATTTGTCCAAGCTGTTTGACCAAATTGCTTATGTAGTAATACACTGACTTCGTAGAGGCAGATTCCTCATCTATTGAGGTGCAACACTATCTGGCACTGGCCAGGAGCTAAGATCCAACTAATAAAACAAGTTTATAGAGTTCCCCCTATGTTTCATTTTCTAACCAAGCCACGCCAGAGACATTTCTTAACAAGACTCCCCATCTACATTTGAGCTGTCAGCAAACAAATCTCATTTTTGACATTCTGTGCAAATTTTTTTTCAGAGCCTCAGGTCAGTGCCGTTTGGACAAGCACTTAATGCATGTGTGTGAGTAAACAGAGAATAACTGTATTTCCTGGGTGTGCAAAGGAGGAGCTGCAGCAGCAGGAAAAGGGGTTGGGCCAAGCACCTTTCCGCATCACATGAAGATGAAACCAGAGCAGCTCTCAGGAGACAGGTCTGCACCAACCCCAGCACAGCACAAGTCTGGGCTCCCTACATCTCATAAGTGATTAGCTAGCTGCAGCCATCCTGCAGAGCCATCCAGGACATGAAACTTCTCAACTCTGCAGCAGAAAGCAAAAACCTAGACGCAGTGTGGGGGAGACTTCAGTACTCCATAAATACCCACTTGCACAGCATTCTCTGGCTGAATAGCCCTATTATACAAGCTTGCTTACACTGACACTTTGATTTTCTAGAAGGAAAAATGATGAAAACACTCTGAAAAGGGATAGTTAGGCTAAAAAAAAAAAAAAGCTGAATGCCTTCTCTCTGCAAAAACATATTCTGGCTATCCATGCTACCAAATGCTTATTACTCGAGGCCTCGTTCCAAATCCAAGCATTTCCAAAGCTGCTATTCATTATAAAGACTTTATTGTCAATGGTAGCAGTCAAGGAATGGGAAAGAGGAAATTGTTTGCTCCTGCTTGAAGGATCCAGAGCATTCTGGAAAAAAGTGGTTTTTTCTTTGTAACTATGGAATCAGAAGTCAGAAAACATCCAGAGGCTTCTCTATGCACCTCAGAATACAACTGGCACCTTCTATATTGCTGCTTTACATACCCCAGCCCAATGACAAGCGAACATGGACCACATTTTCACATTCTACTTTTCAGTTTCCATACAATAACTCATGTATGTAGACAACGTTCAAGCCTTACTTATATAAATTGCCTTAGAAGATCTAAATAACAGAAAGCCACTCCAATCTGATAGCAACCGACAGGCCTTGTAAAACCACCATTGACTTGATTCTTGTTCAACAATCCTTTGCCATGGTTATTGACAATGATGAAAAAGCCTTGATAAGATTTTACCATCCCATTAGAATTTTTTACTCCAGTAAGCAGAAAAGTAGGCACTCAATAAGAGTGACGTATTAAGGCAGGTGTTTGGTTCATATTTATTAGTAATAGGTATAAGCTTCTCAAAAAACTAGGGTCCAGATGTGACAACAGATTATCAATTTTAAACGTAAACCTCTCACTTTTCATAACTGTACCACCACCCCCCTTAAAATAATGTCAGAAACCCCTTTTCCAGACAAAAGAATATCTTCATGCAGGAAACAGAGGAACTGGGCTATCCACTTGTAGCCAAGACACGTCAGTTGCAAAGATAGGTCAACTAAAGCCAGCCACTGGATTGGCAGTGCAGCAAACCACTGCTATTCCATCCTATTCCACAGAAATCAGAACATATGCTTGTAACAGCTCAGACACAGAAGGAAACAGCGAGGGAAAGACAACACTATCCACCAAAAAAACCTCACTGGCTACTAGATCTCTAGAAACGGGAACTCAGATAATGACAAGATTTCAAAAGCAAGCACAAACCACAATCTCCCTGTCCCCTCTCCTGCACCCTACCGCTTTGGCAAATCCCTCCAGCACAACAGCATAGCAGCCTGTTCGACCGAGAGCTGTGCCAAACTAGGCAATGACGAATAAAATAGACATAAGGTACTACTGTGATTCCGCTTGCTACCAACCCTGTCTTTAAAATTCCTGAAGCATCCAGCCTCAGCATTTTCCAACACTAACATTTTTCTTTGAGTATGAATGCTAAAACCAGAAGAATACTGATACATTTGGTGACAAAGGCTGTGAGTGAGTGGTGTCAGGCTCCATTGATTTGCTAGAACTCCGGCCCTGAAAGCAGCATAACTGGCATCATGCCCTGTGACAGTACATTCCCATCAGGAAACATAAAAGGAAAGAACAGAGACTTCACATACAAGAGATGCAGCCAACAACTTTAAAGAGAATTAAGCAGGCTGGAAACTAATGACGTTTCTTTTATTTCACTTACAGTATCAAGAAAAGAATCTTATCAAGGCAGTTCTAAGTATAGTACAAGGCACAAATGTACCTCCCACCCTAGCTAGGGCATGCAGATATGTTGGAGGTATTCCAAAACCAGACACGACAGTCATAAGCACAAGAGCTTTCTTCTTTCATTAATGAAAAGAAACTATTGTGCAGCTTCTACTGTACTCAGGCTGCAGAAGCTCGATTCCTAGCACTGTCAGTCAGGTCCTTATGAAGTAGCAATAAAATCACATAGGCTTCAGCCCTGGATAACAAAGGCAATAGCTGTGGAATGATTTAGAGAGAAATGATCTTCAAAGAAGGGCTGTAAGATTCTAGATTACAAAAGAGATTTCCAAACACCACTCCCCCATCAGATCCAGGCTCTAACTTGGCATTAACTCTTTGCTTAATTACTTCAACCACTGCCGTACCATAGCACATATTTGAAAATAGGCAAAATATTGGTACTATTGCAGTAACACCATGGCTGCGTTTAACTCATTCCAAAAGAGGGATGGCAAAAATGTGATGAGGCAGTCTCATCAACTGCTGCCTCTGTGGCCATCAAGACTTGATAGCCTGGTTGGAACTGTCTAGAGAAGTGATTCCACAGGTGACATAGGCTACTTGGGCTCTCCCTCCATGGTGAAGTGGAACACTGGACAGCTAGAACATGGTTGTTTAAGAAAGACCCTCAGACCGTCTCCTGTGGATATGCCTAACAGAATGTGTTTTACAGATAATTGTTCTGCTGCTTTTTTACAGATAATTGTTCTGCTGCTTTTTTACAGAAACAAATGCAATAGACCTCAAAGGAGTAGTAACAACCATTCTCCGAAAACAGAAATATGCAAGCAGCAGCATGTAATACAGAAGATGTGGCTTAGCTGATGCTGTTACCACTGCTTGCTTGTGCACTAGGCAGCACTAAGCATACAGTGGAAGATACCTGGACGACTTTACAACACCCATTAAGCACAGCCATGACAGCTTCTACTAGGTGCAGAACTCTTGTGCCACAGTGGAGGGGACAGCACA